CAATATGCTGACTCTCTGTAAACCGCTTAGAGAGGCCTGAAAGGCCTATGAAGCGGTATATAAGTCTACTGCTATTGCTATTGCTATTCTCAACTTTTGAATGCTTTTTCCGTATGGCTAGAAATCTGGCAATTAAAGGTCATTGAATGCCACCACGATGCAAACTGCCTCCATAATTGTTGAAAGATATCACAAGACCAGAGAGCTTGTGAAATTCCAGCTATTGTTTTACTTTTATTTTAAATTTTGCATTTGAGAAATCAAACTAGGAGACACTCACCCCGGTGGGGTCCGTCCTGTGTGGTAATCTTTAATTTAGTTTGAGGTGAGAATCCAGCCATTAGCTTGCAGGCCTGTCAAACTGGCGGCCCGCAGGTTGATTGCGTCCTGTGCAGGCCACGCCCACCCCGGCTCAGCAAAGGCAGAAAACGTCACAATAAATCATGATACGTCACGTGACGTCACTTGAATTTGACACCCCTGCTTTACAGCAATCAGAGGCATGGGATTTTCTCCATATTATAGCAAAGCAAACTTTATTGAAAGGGGGAAAAAAACTCAGTGAAAAAATATAACATAAATTATATGCAAAAAAAGATAATAAATGTATAGCGAATCCATAAACAATATGCCGAATGTCTCAGCCATGTACTTAAACAGGAAGCAAAGGCAATGAGGATCTCTTATATCAGGGGTGTCCAACTTTGGCAACATTACGACTTGTGGACTTCAACTCCCAGAATTCCTCAGCCAGCCATGATCGCTGGGGAATTCTGGGAGTTCAAAATCCCCAAGTCCTAAAGTTGCCAAGGCTGAACGCCCTTGTTTTAGATGTCCTCTTCCTTTAGTTGATAGAACAACTGCTTGCATGTTGGAGGTCCAAGGTTGACTTTCTAGACTTTCTGATTAAAAGCAGTTGATGGGATATGTTTCTCCCTGAAACTCAGTGTACACCTGAAGTAATTAATAAACAAGTAGCATTGATAAAAGCAATTTATACATCTTCCATAACAATCAATGCATTTGGGCTTTCCAGAGGACTGGGCCTTTAAATTGGATATAAATTATTGGATTGGAAGTGAATTTAATGAACTTCATTGAAATCAAATATATCAGGTTTGAAGACCCTATTAATTTCAATTCATGTAAATTTCCTCAAAATCTAAAGGTGGCTGTGTCTGAATGCAATCTTTTTGTTTTTGAGCAAAAATAAAAAAGGTACTAAGAGGCTTCCACAGAGAAAAAAATCTACTGTGTTTTCCCCCAAAATAAGACAGGGACTTATTTTCCCTTGACCCCCGAAATAAGCACTTGGCTTTATTTTCGGGAGGTCTTATTATTTTTGAGGTGCAGGAGACGGTGAGTGTGGTCACCTCATGGCTGCTGCTGTGTTGCAATATTTTTGGGGAGGGCTTATTTTAGGGAGAGGGCTTATTTTAGTGCATGCGCCCAAAAGCCCGATTGGGCTTATTATCCGGGGAGGTCTTATTTTTGGGGAAACAGGGTAATAGATTCCCCAAATCTTCCAGGGAAGCCGCCTTTGGATATATGGTTATGGTGGCAACTCAGATTCAGTTAGGTCTGTGAGTTTGATAAGAGACGTGGGCTGGATTGCTACTCCAGAATTTGTCTATTTTGAAATTTATTTATTATTATTTTTTATTACGTTTTTATGCCGTTCATCTCCCCTATCTGGGCAGAAATAATGTCTCTGTTTGGAGAATAGTGAGTTCACACTTCCTGAACAAACTCTTTCAATGGGGTGGAACAGATGGTGATTTCAGGTAGTCCTGGTAATACTGTCTTAAATATGTCTAATTTTATTTATTTATTGGTTCAATGCATAAGCCTCATCCATTGCCCAAGTGATCCTAGGTGACACACTTATTAAAAGAGTAGCAAGGATGGGTAGTGGGAGACACGGGCAGTTTTGAAAATAGACTAACATGTTGATTGAAGTTGCAAGATGTGATCGAGGGAAAGCCCTCAGGTAGAACTTCACAGTAGAAAGCTTGCACACAAGAGTGGAGCGGATCTTCTGAAAGTGACTTCAATCTCAGAATTTCTTATTCAATGTTAGAAGGTCAAGGAAGCAGAGGAAGATTATCTGTAAGAAATTCGGGAACCTGGATTTTTCAAGTCACTGTATATATCCACTCGCTGCCCTTGAAGTTCCTGTGGGGTCAAAAAAGTGGATGAATGTACATTATCATTCTCCTTTTTTCCCAAAGAATCGTAAACTCTGATAGATTAGCCACTAGTCCAACGTTTTCTTTTTATAGCAATAGCAGTAGACTTATATACTGCTTCATAGGCCTTTCAGGCCTCTCTAAGCGGTTTACAGAGAGTCAGCATATTGCCCCCAACAATCTGGGTCCTCATTTTACCCACCTCGGAAGGATG